AGCATTATGTTTTCTTCTTGACATTCTTTTAAGAAATCAAAGTGTTGCCTCCTGTTTTAACGATGTACAAAAATACACCAGGCAGCCTAGTTATTGATAGCAATTGTCATAACAGAAAAATCCGTCACTACGTAAGTGCTTAAAAGGAGCGCTAAAATATTGATATATGTTAATCTTTTTCAAATAATTTTTTACCAGCTCGGCGGTGGCTTGTTTCCACCTATAAGAGATTTAAAATGTTAATTTTTACAAAATTTTACAGGGTAGGTACCCAGTGGATATTTTAACATGAGAAAAATATTAGGTTTTTTTATGATTTGCTGGGAAAGTATGGCTGTGCTGAATATTCGAATATTCGATCAATCATCGAATATTCAAATATTATTTTCCAAATTTGAATACTAAAATGCAAAATTCATGAAAAGAAAGGGTGACTTTTTTTTGTCTTAAATGAGAAAAATTGCACTATGGAGTTTCAAGCAGATTCAAATGAAAAGCACCAGAAATATTACGATTCAATAATAAAATATTCATAAAAAAATTTAAAAGGAATAGGAATTTTCAGCAGGGCCAAAAAGTACCCCAGAACTGTGGGGTCCGACATCTGCTCTTCTCCCAGGTGGGAGAGGAGCGGACGTCGGACCCCACAGTTCTGAGCAGACTTTGGACCCCACAGTTCTGAGCGGACGTCAGACCCCAAAGTTTTGGGGGTAGGCACAAAATATTGTTTGTCTCTTAAATCTTGCTAAATCATGGCTGGAGATACTCCTAGACTTAAGAAGCTATTATATTGATTGTATTATACAATTGTGTGAATTACTGCCACTGATTTTACACATGGTTTGTTCATCAACAATCTGCCAGTCGGTACAACCAAATATTTGGATATTCGATCGAATTGAGGGTCAAATATTCAAATGGTTTATTATCGAATTGATTATGGGTAAGTTCATTCATTCGTTCATTCACAAGTGAAAGGAAACTGAATACCTTTCACTTTATTCTTCACACAATTATTGCAGTAAAAGAAGTACAAAGAAAAAAAATGTGGATGGGGTCCCCAAACAGCAGCGCTTGTCGAGTAGGGACTCCATATACACTAACATACAGTCAAGATACATGTACAAACATGTAAAACACAAAAGAACAAATATACATGTAATATTAACATAATGAAAAAAAAAACCTGTAGCCTCGTGGAATAATCAATTACAAATATTTATTTAGTAGAAAAGTCTTAAATTTACATTTAAATAGTGAGAGATTTGCTGTGTTTTTTAAAGAAGAATCTAATGTGTTCCACAGCTTGGGACCCTTGTGTTTAACTGTTTTAGATGAAAGTTTAGTACACGAGTACGAGCGATGAAATTTGCTGCACTGTTCGTGTGAAATGGTGATGAATTTGGTCATTTCTTATAAACATTGAATTGATAAAGTTTGGTAAGTTGTTATTATGCAGTTGGTGCATGAGGGTTACAAGCTGGGACTTATAAATATCACCGACCTTTAAGGTTTTGCAATGGTAAAAAGTGGACTACTATGTTCCCAGAAAGAGGTAGAGTTGATTATGCGTAAAACTTTCTTTTGGAGCCTATGAATTCTGTTTACCAGACCTACTGTATGCCGCAGTTGCCCTAGGCAAGTATACCGTATGATACGTAAGGCAACACTAAAGTATTGAACAGGTTCAATAAAATGTTTTTTGGAAAAAATGACTAAAGCTTACATATTACACCTATATTTCTGAATACAATTGAACAAATGTGATTAATATGCTTTTTCCAAGAAAGACGTTTGTCAATAAATAGTCCTAAAAATTTGATAGAATCATTTTGTGTGATTTTTGTCAATAAACACGGCATGTACAGGATTACTTTCCTTGTAGTTGAACAACATAAAGCTGGTTTTCTTTAAGTTTATTGTCAGCTTGTTTGGCTTTAATCCAATTAGAGACATTTTGAAGTACAACATTTACTGTGTCAAAGAGTGTTTTAGGATCTTTCTTACCATAAAATATTTGTAACTATCATCTGCAAAAAGAATGAAAGAAAGGAGATCCGAAGATTTGTTAAAATCATTAATATACAAAGAAAATAAAAGGGGGCCTAAAATGGACCCTTGGGGGACTCCATGGGAAATTGTACAATAAGAAGATTGTGTACCATTCATACATACACACTGTTTGCGATTATGCAGATAACTCCGGAACCACTCCAAGGCAATTCCTCTGATACCATAATGATCAAGTTTAGATAAAAGTATGTCGTGGTTAAGTGTATCGAATGCCTTGGAGAGGTCCAGGAATATACCAATAGTAGAAATTGAATTATCTAAGTCATTAGTTATCTTATCAATTAGGTGAATAATAGCGTGTAACGTTAAATGTTTCTCTCTAAATCCATACTGATTATCTGCTATGATATTATTTTTGTCTAAAAAATGTAATGTACATTTGTAAATAACACGCTCCATTATCTGGGAAAAAGAAGTAAGAACAGAAATTGGTCTATAGTTATTAACGTGGCTAACACTGCAACTCTTATGAATAGGGGTGACCCTTGTGATTTTCATGCCGTCTGGTACGACACCAGTGGAGAGGGAAAGATTTATAATGTAAGTTAGTGGTTTTGAGATGGCTGGAATTAAAGTCTTAATTAGTGAACAGTTAATATGATCAACCCCCTGCACTTTTTTTATTCGGCAAATTGCATACCACATCAGTGATCTCTTCTTCCGTTACGAGAGAGAAAAATACAATTAGGATTAGGATTCACTAAGTATTCGAAGAAAATGTAGTCATTACTAGGAACTGCATCACAAAGATTCTCGCCTGTATTTGTAAAATAAGTGTAAAAGTAATTTGCAACGAGTCTAGGGTTATCAATGAAAGCACCTTCAGTTTCAATGGAAGTTATTTTGGATTGTGGATTAATATGTAAAACATATTAATCCACAAAACTATTTATGATTTTCCATGTATTTTTAATATAACCCTTTTCTTTGTTAGTACGTACCCAGTAAAACCAGTAAAAATAGGTGTGCTCTAAACCCAGCATATTCCCCCTACTCAAAGACTCTACAAACATGACAAATTACCTTTATGAACATTTGAATATAGTTGGCTGGGTGGCTACATATATCTTGTCACTTGTGTCTAAGTTACTCAGACTGGGGAAATGTAACTATTTCACAGTCATAAACTTATTTATTAGTAGCAACATCACTTAGAATATGCAAACGTTTTAGAGAGGATTGTAGTTTTCCAGTGATGTAAAAGCTAATATCCGAATTTCCACGCTTTCTATAGGATAGGCAAGGTTTCGAGTCAACTCAGACCCAAACCCACTCGGACCCATACCAACTCGGACCCATACCAATTCGGACCCACAACCAACTCGGACCCAATACTAACTCGGACCCAACCCCAGGTGTATGATTAACTTGTTGAAAATTTTTATTTTGTCCACTTTTACATTTTAGCATTTGGTAAATGACTTTTTTGCACTGCATGCTGCCGAGATGTAATGTCCTCTCTACACATTATGCAGGGAAACAGTGGCACAGGCTTCCCAGAATTTTTCCGTTTTCGAGTTTGAACGGGCATGGTGGTTAAAAACCGTAAAGGACTAGATTTGATAGCAGTGATGTCTTCGAACAAGTGATAAGTAACCAACGAGCGTCATATTTTTATGGAGGCACATTTCCTTTGATGTCTTATTTGCCGCTTGTAATCTGGAATCTTAATCAGGTATTAGCTTCCAAGGTACCGGCGTGATTAACCACAAAGACTAATTCTGTCACCTTCCATTCTTGAAACCCTATGATCGGGGAGTGGGAGCTTGGGACAAAAAATGGGAGCAGCTTTTGGAGAGTGATTGACAGTACCAAATCATTGACGCCCTTTCTCCAAAGTTTTTTTGGCATTCCAGATCACCAGCAGAAATCGAATGAACTTTCACCAAACAGCCCCCAAAGTTTTTGTTGCAATAAAAAAGCCACAGATAGGCCTTCTGATGTACATAAGAGATGCTGCATACGTACAACAGATACTGCAGATATACATCAATATCACGAACATTGACCTTTTATAGTGTCTCATAGTGTTATTCCCCACTTCACTTTTTAATTTTTTTTGGGCCTGGCAAGTCTTACACCTCCACCTTGCCCCATTCCCCCCCCAATACCGGAAAGATTTAGGCAGATGGAGGAATTCATCCATACAGGCCTGAACTGACTGTCCAACTAACACAAATACATGTAGGTTGGTAATTTCGAACAACACAAATCCAATCATTTTAAGATAAAAATGTGGAATATTTCCTATTGGCTTAAACTTGGAGACGGTTTTGAAGTGTCGTATGTCTGCTCGCGAGCTCATTATTAATATTTTGTGATCCCACGGTTTCTTATTTTCTACAATAAGACGTGCCATAATCACGAGGGAGCATAGAATTATTTATATAAATCCCGAATTTGGGATTGATAGTTTCCGGTTCAGAGTATTTCTTTCACAAAAAGCCCCACTATGCGGGCCTATTTTGGATAGAGGCAGGCGGCTTCATTTACATGAGCGCATAATTTTACTGCTATTAGGGAAAAGGCGAATACAAAAGTTCATAAAATTGAAACGAAAAGTGATCAATCTGGCCATAATGTTGAATTTGAAGCGGAAAAAAAAGTATCTTGAAGCGAAAAAAAATGAAGGCGAGGTTCAAGAGTCGGCGCTATTTCGGCCTACGGGCGCGTATTTGGTGTAATGCAACCATAAGACTGAGTGGGTCCGAGTTGACTCGAAGTGGGTCCGAAATGGCATGGGTCCGAGTTGGTTGTGGGTCCGAGTTGGTCCTGGGTCCGAGTTGGCATGGGTCGGAGTTGGAATGGGTCCGAGTTGGTTTCGGTCCGAGTTGAAATGAGGCCTGATCCCCTAGGCAAGAGGGGGTGGGTACTTTTTCATGCAAATTTACTGAGTAAGCCTACTGTAAGTAAGAGTTTAACAACTGACCATAATTATGCCACTCAAGATTAAAATATATGTCAAACAAACACATGAGGTATACATTTGTGAAGTCACATACCTCGACGTTCCGATGGGGGAAGTCATTTTGAAGGGTTAACTACTCAAATTAATGAAAGAAACAGATGACAGGAAGGCAACCGACAGGATATGCGCAGTCCGCGCAGTTTGCAGAAAGGTGTTTATGGTGTGAGCCCTCAATCGACAGGGTTGTGTCAGCTTACTGAAAAGTGCTTCCAACAATAATGTTTTCCTCCTAAGTTGGTCTCACTGCAATGATGACGCAAAGATAGTTTTCTCAAAAAGTGAGAAGAACCAAAAAACATCAAAGACAATTTAAAGAGAAGTTACATTAGTGATCTACACGTATGGATCGTACAATGTGAATAGTGTTTGACTATGTCGACATATCATTTGGGCAGGGCATTTTTTTACAATGCACCCTTAAGAACACGTACGTTTTGCATTTATTCATCGACTTAGCTCATGGCATACATGTACATGGTGCGCTGTGCTGTGGTCTACATGACACAGTACACGTGTGGAAAGCAACCGAAAGTTTTTAATGTTTCTACGATTATTTGTTCAACAGCATGGACGTAAAAAATGTGTTCCATAGACTGCGTCAGTTTGATGCTTACCCCAAGACTCTGGAAGATTTTAGAGTGAAAACCTTCGGTGGAGCAGCAGGTAGGCAGCGTAGCCTTGACAGCCCCATCAAGGCATCATACCGATCGTGCAGTGTCCCAAGGAGCTATATATGCAATCACACATATGAAGCCAAACCATGGTTCACAACCATGCACATGCATGACATCTAGATGCTCAACCAACCATAAAAACTTCACGTGTGAAATAAGGCTCCAATAACATTCGGGCTTTATTTTCCTCTTTAAATAAACCTCCCTGCCGACACCACCGTGATTCGAACCCACACCCCATGCATCACAAATCATTACTGTGCTGTAACCGCTTGGCTACCGCAATTCACACAAATTGGTGGTGTTTTTACTGTTGATATACCGATGAACAGCTGCAACGTGAGTCTAATATACATTGGCCATGCGCAATACAAACACAACCATCGTGGTTTGGCTTCATACGTATGGTTGCATATATATCTCATCCCAAGCATGTCACTCACGCCAGGGGCCTTGGCCATTCTGTAACTCTGATTTCATTGTCATAATTATGTATGATAATACATCATCTGCAGGATACCGGATGCATGGTCTAGGGCATTATGTTAGCTTGCAGCTGTACGCTACCCCCAGAACTGTGGGGTCCGACGTCCACCCATTCATGGGAGTGAGGTAGAACGGACCCCACAGTTCTGGGGGTAGCTTTTCACAACTTCACCTCACACTTTCTTCTAAGTCTTGGGCCTAGGCCTACCCCAGAACTATGTTGTCCCATGTCTGCCCCGTATTGTGTTAGTCATGTTATTGCACAACAAGTCAACATGTTCAAATTGTTTCCTGCATAGAAGAAAAACATAACAAAGATTGTCACACTGACTAATTGTCTAATTGACTAATTCACTCTGGGTAACAAGTACAACCTTACAAAGAGTTCCATACACAGACAGTACTAAGTTTATATAACGGGTTTTACCCTTACCCAACGTATATATTAAACACTGTATGCTCAGTGCTTGTTCGAGAGCTTGCGAAAAAAGGCACAAGCTTACTCGGGTGGGACTAAAACCCACAACCTCCTGCTTACTAGTGCAGACGTCTTAACCACTCACTAAGCAGGAGGTCGTGGGTTCGAGTAAGCTTGTGACTTTTTTCGTAAGCTCTCGGACAAGCACTGAGCATACAGTGTTTCATATATACATGTACGTTGGGTAAGGGCAAAACCCGTTACGTAAATTAACATCTCCCCAACGCAAAAATACATCTTGAAAAAAAGTACTAAGTTTTCCGTAACATCTTACAACAGCTGTCAGAAAGTGATAACATGTCCCAAAAAGTGACATTTAGCAAGGAAATTCCTAAACATTTACTTAGAAAACACTTTGGTTTTTTCAAACATGTCAGACAAGTCTCATAGGTTTGTGCACAGGGACATCAAGTGTTGTCTGTATATAGAACTCATTCCATCACCAATATGATGCAACCATCATCATGAATATGATAAGTAATTTACAGTTTGGTTTGAGATTAACCCTAATGCAATGGAAACGAGTAACAGGGCTAGGCCCGAATCCTTTAATTTCAATATGATTTTGCACTTACCCTGAGGGAGTTAAGGTTAATTGAAAATTGAAGCCTGTTGATTGACTGACCAGTTGAGGATTAATATACATGTACATTTTGAAGGTGCCTCAAAATTGTTCTAGATTTTCAGTGTAAAAAGAGGGCACTAAATGATTCAAAAAATAACCATGATAACAGATTGCATCATTGATCACACTGGCTGCAGGTATTTTTAAGAAACTTTGAGTAGATCTGAGAAATTGTTTCTTGTGTTCTTGTTTTTAGTTACCATTGTCAGTGCCATCCTCATGACTGTGTTGTTTCTGTCAGAACTCAACTATTACCTGACAAAAGAGGTACAGTATGTTGCTTATTAAATCACGGGAGTACATGTACTCTCAGAAAACCTGAAAGCAAATGTTTTGCAATTCTTTCAAAGACTTTCATTGATTTTCCTTCAAATGAAGAAAAAATGTTTTTATTCTCCAAGCAAAAGACAAGTAGCACTCAAAGTGTATTCTTGAAATTGTTTGATTCGAAAACTTACAAATATACAGTTGTATTTTTGACATATTCCCTTATTGTTTTCCTTGCTGTGTTTCTCTGAGAACTGACTATTCTTCCTGAATCTTGGAGGCCAATCCTATATTTTCAACTTGTTGCAATGAGCTTTTTGTAATTTCTGAGAACTTCAAGCAATAGCTTTCATATGCCCCGTAGCTTGAGTTGAAGAGATTACACAATGCCATTGTACATGATCTTACAAAGTACTCTCATATCACCTGCTGTCACATTTCCAATCCCAACCACCACTGTTCCTGCACTTTTTGAAACTATACCTTGAATACTCCAAATACGCTGTACTTGTATCAGTTTTCTGAATCTGTCTCTAACTCCCCACCCCTCCCTTCAACCCCCTTCACCCCCAACATCCCTTTGCAGCAAAGAAAATTTAAACTTAAAGTGACCCAAACATTTAAAACCAAATCATGGTGCAAGTGTTTGAAAGAGGCACTTCAAGGCTGGAGAACTAAAGTACAAACTGCCCGTTTGGGTAGAATGTACTTTCTTTGAATTGATATTTCCAAAGCCTCAAATGTTTTTATCTTTCATCAATTTAACAGGTTATTCCAGAATTGTACGTTGATAACACAAGAGGGGAAAAACTGCGGATCAACATGGATATCATTTTTCCCAAAATGCCCTGTGTATGTAAGTTCAGAAACAAAATACCGAGTAATTTTTTTTCAATGTATGGTAAAGTGACCATTATAAGAAAATCTTAGTGTAAAGCCTTAAAGAGGTGTTACTGTAATTTCCTTATTTCCAGTTTTAAGTTTAGATGCAATGGATGTCTCAGGTGAACACCAATTGGATGTAGATCTTAACATCTATAGGAAGAGGCTGGATGCTAAGGGTAACCCCATCGATGAGAAGGAAGAAACCATCAAGCTTGGTGAGGAAGATAAAGATGCTGCCAAACTCATCAAGGTAAAATTGACAAAAGTACACTTTTTACATTGTTTTCTTTTATGGACACGTGATACTTTTGAAAAGTTGAAGTTGTATAAAAGAGTAAGACTACTGTTTTTTGCGACCGTATGCCCACCATACTTTTAGGTGTTTATCCACGTGATGAATATGAATTACACTCCCACTGGCTTAGATATGATTTCCTTTCTATTTAATGTGTTAAAAGTGAACTGGAGTATAAAGTCAAGAGTAGGCAATAAAGAAATCAGAGGGCAAATCTTCTTCAAACATAACTAACAAACCCATTTGGCAGCCAATCCCTTGCCTTGTATTTTAAGAATTGGCACTCCATACACACTTTGCATATCATGAATAATAATCTAATGTTGGGTGAGTCAATTTTGTACATAAGCTGGGCTATTTTGTCATCCATACATGATATAAAGCCGCATTTTTGGCTTCAACCCATACATTTTGCTTTAGAATTTGTTGTTAAAACTACTTCAAAGGGTTGGAGTAACTCATAAGATGAAAAAAACTACATTGTGTTGGCAATTTGAGTAACTGTGACTATTTTGTACTGGCAATTTAAGTGGTTTCTTTCGACGCCACAATAATGTAAGACAGACAAGTAGAATCTATCTCTTTTGAATTTCTCAAGAAGGGCTGAGAAATTTGCTTTTCTCGCCCAATCAAGAATGGAAAGACAGAATGCATTGCTGCCTAAGGTTTCCACTATGGGAGTGTGGGGGATCATGCTAGTCACTGTGACTCAGTGGTCCCTAACTTTCTGGTGGTCCACCTTGGTTTGAAATGCCACAAGGTTTTCAGTATGGGGCTATTGCATGGTGAAGACATTCAATAGTTTTATGGGAAGGATTGACTGCTGTCAAATGTTTTCACAGAAAGTACTCACTGGAAAAGTTCATTGTGGGGAAGGTTACCTCTAGAGAGAAGGTTAAACTTTTGACCTGACGTAATGAGGGAAAAGTGATGAACTGGTGATCTGCACTTCATTACAATAAAGAAAACTCGGCAAGAGGTCAAAGGTTGCAGTAAAAAGAATTATTACAAAATAAAAAAACAGAAACTGGGACTTTGATTTGCTGCGAAAACTTGGATAGTTAATGCATTGATTTAAACCCTTCACGCCAGGACGCACTAAGACACGCTGGAAAAATTGAGATCCTCAGTCCGCTTTTCAGCTATTATTCTTGGCCCACGCTCCTCGAGCGAACACGGTGAAAGAAGGCAGACCCTGGCTCTTGTGTATATGGTAATTGGTCTTTGTGTGTAGCCCAGAAATGAAAAGACCGAATTTGCATCATAATCACCAGCTTCACAATAGTCCCCACTTTGAAAAGAGGCAACGGGAATGTGGAAGCTTGAGTAGAGCCACCGAACAATCAGCCTTTTTACCGTGTAATTCAAAGCGTGCAGTGCACGCTGGGCCACAAACTGAGAACTTGCTGTTTGGCAGGTGGCCTTCATGGCCAAGTGAGGCTGGAATTCTTAGAGTCGGCTTTTGGAAAGAAATTCCCATCGAGAAGGGGTTAACACAAGAGTGTGCAAGGATTTTAAAAGTAAACAGTTTTAGCATGTTGGCATAAGCCTACCTTGATTGACAAAATGAAATAAAATAATACTAATATTACTAATAAAGACATTGGCTTCATTAAATGAACATTAAATGCATTGATTTATGAAATCAAATGAATGACTTAATCTTGTTTCATAGGTCACCATACAAAGAAATACCCAGAGGTCAATCTTCCCCCATAATGGTGATATATAATCTTTGGACATAGTAATGGTGTTATATTCCTAATTACACTTATTTTGTCTTACCAGGCCAAAAAAGAAGAATTGGACCCAAATAGGTGCGAGAGTTGTTATGGAGCAGAATCAAAGGAACTTCAGTGAGTATTGGTTGACAATAATACATTCTTCCATTAGCCTAAAAGATATTAATGTTGCTCTTAAAACATGCATTGAAATCAACTTTCTACTTGTAATATACTTGTAATTGTTCAAGATAGAGAAGATACTGAAGGAACATTGAATTCCCTCTCTTCTTTGGTTAGATGTTGTAATTCTTGTGAAGATGTACGAGAGGCTTACAGACGAAAAGGTTGGGCCTTCAATATGGCAACTGAGATTGTACAATGCAATCGAGAGGGCTGGAGCGATAAGATTGATGCCCAGAAAGGAGAAGGTTGTCAGTTGTTTGGCTACTTGGAAGTTAATAAGGTAAACCTTTCCACAGATCTCATGAACTATACCAAATTACACCCCCAACCAATGTGCTCTAACGTTCATTCAATTTACATGCATGGTTATGTGAGTTGTGTTTTCATGAGGTTTGACTACCCGAAGAATCTCATCTTATCATATATCCCAAGGTTTTAAAGAAAGTTACAGAACAATGGGGAAAAAAATAAGTGAACACATTTTTTTCATTTCCACGAATTCTTTGGTCTAACGGGTCAGTTGCACTTTTTGTCCTGGTTAGGTGACAGAATTTCCACGAATTCTTTGGTCTAACAGGTCAGTTACACTTTTTGTCCGGATTAAGTGGCAGGGAATTTTCACAAATTCTTTGGTCCAATGGGTCAGTTACACTTTTTGTCCTGGTTAGGTGGCAGGGAATCTCCATGAATTCTTTGGTCTAACAGGTCAATTACTTTTTTGGTCCTGGTTAGGTGGCAGGGAATCTCCACGAATTCTTTGGTCTAACAGATCAGTTACTTTTTTGTCCTGGTTAGGTGGCAGGGAATTTCCACTTTGCACCAGGTAAAAGTTTCCAGCAGCATCATGTTCACGTCCATGACTTACAACCATTCATCGGAGACAAGGTCAGTTTTTGTATGTTTACCTCAACATACTTGCAACAACCAAGACTGTTTTCTTGTGTGTACATGTACTCATGCACCATAGTTGTGGGGACATACACTCGACATTTCACCTATTTTGTGGGGACCGAAAATGTTGTGGGGACTCAGAAATGTCCCCACCACTCGGTTCAAATTTCCCTAACAAAAGAATTTGTCCCCTGAATACGGTGAATGCCTACACATGTATTACTTGATACAGTATATAGCAGACAAGGTCAGTTTTGTACCATTGGTTCACAAATTAAAATTTTAAAAATTGGTATATGTCCAGCAGTGTGAAGGATAGTTTGTCCAGCGGTGTGAAGGATAGTTTGTCCAGCGGTGTGAAGGATAGTTTGTCCAGCGGTGTGAAGGATAGTTTGTCCAGCAGTGTGAAGGATAGTTTTTCCACATTTGCTGAACAACAACGTGTTCATCGTGGTTCCTTTGGTTAAATACTTTTTCTTACTGTATTAATTTCTTTAACTGCTTTTTTACAGTTCAACATGTCACATCATATCCAGCAATTGTCTTTTGGAGTGGAATATCCTGGTATGGATAATCCACTGGACAGGACTCTAGTCACAGATCGAAGAGGTGAACAGTCTTAAGTGTTTCTGAAATCAAGTCTTATCCACTCTGTTTAGTGCCTGCTGAGAGCGCCATTTTAAGTTTTACATAGGATTAGCTATTTCCCATCCTAACATATTCTCATGACACCGTCTAAGATTCTTCCTTTAACATCAATTATTATTTGTCCACATTATATTCATTCCAGGCTCTACCATGTACCAATACTTCATCAAAGTAGTTCCAACAACATACACCAAACTGAATGGGCAGACAACGAGGACAAATCAGTACTCAGTCACTAAACATGAGAAGCAAGTGTCTATCCTTAGTATCAGTGGTGAACAAGGCTTGCCGGGCGTCTTTGTTCTATATGAACTTTCACCTCTCATGGTGAAGTTCACAGAAAAACACAGGTAACATTTTCTTCCAATTTCTTGTAAATGCGTATATTTTACCGTCTTGCTAATGTTTCGTTATCTGGTTTTTTTTTATTGTTTTTAAATGTTGAAAAGTTGCTGTGAAATTGCCAGCTTCTAAACCGTATATTTAACTTATTTCAGGATCTGGCATGGGTCACAAAATGCATTCTGACTTCTTTATATTGACAAAAATGTACATTTACAAGTGTATTTACATGTACAAACTAAGGTTTCTTTCAAGACACAATTGTATTCATTTCTTCAGGATATTCACTCTGTTTCCTTGTCAGGTCATTCATGCATTTCTTGACCGGAGTGTGTGCCATCATTGGTGGAGTCTTCACAGGTACAGTAACTGATCATTTCTCAGCTTGAATTTAGCAAGGTGGTGCTTGGATCAACCTAACTGTAACCCTTGGGCTCTGACCACCACTAGCATGGGAGTTGTGATAGGTGTTGGAGTGAAAGATGAGACATTTTTGGAGTTGATAGTAGATTTATGTGATGTGCTGCTTCAGTGTTCAGTTGTTGATCTGAGCTTTAAAACCATTTTCATGTTGCTTTACTTTTTACAGTTGCTGGCCTGATTGATTCATTTATCTACCACTCAGCTAAAGCAATACAGAAGAAGATCGACCTTGGCAAGGCGTTATAACAATGGCTTCCACACATCCCTTGTAACCTGTCACAGTGCCCTCTATAATCCATTCACAAGCCAGTAGACGAATCCATCAACATCACTGAACATTCTCAGTGGTCCCCTCTAATCATGGAAAGTACACTGTTGGGTTTTAATTTGAAACACTTGCCATAGAACACTTGCTTTGTGTGTTCAGTGCTTGTAGTTTTCTCAGTGCCTTTTGCTATGGGGGGGGCATCAGGACTGTCCAGCGCAACTGTAAGATTGATTGCCACCTGTCTGTGAGTTTGGCCATTTCTCACATGCATTTACAAAGCAGTGTTGAAATAATAGAGAAGTAAATGTGGAGCTCAGTTTCATGTTTCTATGAAAACATGTTGAATTTGGAGTTCAGTAAATGTGTGATAACAGGATAGAGTACAATCACTTTTTAGGGCCTGCTTCTTGTTTTGGTGAACTAATGGGCTTTTCTGGATGCATGTACTTGTACACTGAAATATGGATATATTGTTCAGAACTGACAGAGAGCCCATAATAAAATATTGGCCAATTCTTTTAATGAATTTGAAAATCTTTGAAACTCCCCCAAATCTCAACATTTAGTGTTAGAGATGATTTCCTTAATTATGCACACTATTTCAGGGTACACAATTTACAGTGTATAAATATGCATACACACTTTTACAATATGTAAAGTGTATATGTAACTACCCACCCATTAGCCAGCTTGAGTCCATCCCACGTGACTAAAGGCTTGTAAATGTTTTCATTTCAAAGCAACAGTCTCAAATGACAGGTTGCATCAACACAACGTTTTCTTAAAACTTTCATTTGAACATAGCAAAAGAATGGCGCTAGGAAGAGATACACATCAAATTCCTCACTGTACTGAAGTCATCTCTTAATGAGAGCCATTCCTTCTTGAAAAATGTCAATACATGTACATTTTACTGCATTAGCCATGTTCTTTTTGTTAAAAACATGCACTCTTTATAGATTGTACATTGGCAAACGGTGACGGGATCTTGTTGGACAAGTTTTTGTCAAATACATTTGGTGCAGTTTTTGATTCTAATTTTTATAGACTATTCTTAATATGTGGGAATGTACACGTATTCCCAGTAGAGGTGCACTATTAATAGTTTCATTTTTATATCTTGTACTGAAGTTCTTCTTTTCCTCTTGATAAGGCAGTTATCATGAAAATTTAAATTGAATAAATACATGATCATTTTTCCCATCAAATCTTTCATTGGTTTCATTTGTGTTCACATGAATTAGCAAGAAAAGAGTCATTGTCCCACAGAGAGAGCAATGCCCCTATCTACTCACTTGATTCCATTTATTTTAACACTTCAGCTTTCTCTCAGGAAGCGGTCAGTCTCGACAATTCATCTTCAAACAGCAAGTCTCCTATTTTTATTTCCATCTCATTGAACCCTAAGCTCACAGTCAGGCTTCAACTCTTGACTTGAGCAAATTAATAATATAGTCACTAAAATCCAGTCGCCATTACGGGATGGCACAATTTTATATGAAACTTAAATTTACCCAATTGACACAGGCTTACATCGTTCAACTATGCCAAACCTTACCTTTCCAATTTCTTTTTTTAATAAAATAATGTTTGAACAGAGTTCAATTCAACTTTGGAGTTCTGCAAAACTTGAATAGCAGTAAGGAACATGACTACTTCAGCTGAAAGTTAGAAACAATGTTTCGTGTAACGATTGTGAAAATAAGAAAAAGTAAATGTGAAAAAGAATTACATCTACATTGGAATACTGTCCCATTCGAAGTAAAAAACTGCTGTAGCATGTTTGTCAAACAATAACTCAAGAGTACAGCAAATCAAAATTTCAATTTCCTTTTTTTCAGTTTTCTATTTTTCCATTCAACAGAAACTTCTCGGAGAGTCTGCAGAACCTTTCACAACAATACACATTGATCAGGTGTTTCAATCTGGGAATTAATGACAAAAAGTGTGGCTACCTGTTACTTAATCAAAAGAAATCAAAAGCTGGTGATGTCGGCTGAGATTTCCATAATGGTGCAGTTGTCATCACAAATCATCTGTCCAATGGTAGTACTTCAAAAATCAGCTTTTGCCAGAACTTCTACATTTGTGCAAGGCAGGTGATGACTGAATTTTTCCCTTGTCCGGTCATTTTTTTCAATCAGCTCCCCATACTGCACACTACCGTCTACTAGCATCGGATGCCTGTTCCAACACTCATAAACAGTCCAAAAGTCCCACCGCCTTGAATCATTGTCTTGCCCACTGTTGTCATCAGTTCCCTTCCCCTTAGTCCGTATCTGTTGAGGGACGGGAGGTCACAGGATTATTGTCACTTTTGTCAGATCAAAATCATACAATGACTGCTTCAAAGAAAGCACATAAAACAAGCAAATTGGAGCAATTTTTCCTTTTCAGGCAGAACATGGTAAGCGCAAACTGTGACTATTGTGCTGTCCAGCCACGAGGCTAAATGCTTGGTATGTACAAAGCACTTTATTTAAATTTGGGAATTTGGAATTATCAATACGCAAACTTAGGCAGTGTCTGAAATGGGCTTCCAGAGCTATGGCTAGCTCTGTTGTCTACGCGTCTCCAAGCACTTCCAATGGAGTGAAGACCTAGCTGTAGCTCTAGATACCAGATTCGGATGCAGCCTTATACACTGTACCACTCAGATAAGTTGTCCATGGCATACATGCCGTTTTGTGCTTAATTTACATTTTTTCACAAGCAAATGCAATGTCTGAAAGACTGTATTATACCTGAGTGCAGAAAAACCACCAAAGAGGGCGCCAGATCCCATGCCGACACAGAATCCAATCATAAAGCCCATTTTGACTCGATCAAAGCAGCTAGGGCCGCCAGTGGGTGTCATTGACACTGGCATTTCTGGTGATATACAAAAAGGATGTGAAATACCTTCATTACCAACTGCATCAGCAAAATAATACATGTAATAAGAAAATAAAATGTAAAAAGTGCGCATAAAAGAAATGCATCAAAATGGAATGGAGCACACATAGGACACAGCAAGGAAAGAATTCCATTTCCATCATGGATATGGATATAGCGCTAAGTTTTCCCTTCAATGATTTATTACCTATCTGAAAGCAATAAAATGTAGTAAAAAGTCAAACTTAGCAGTAAAAATATTGAGCATGTTGAGGTACATGCACCTAGAAAACACTGGGATTTTTCAGTCCAGCCTCAGGGGCATTGTGTATAAACTCCCCGTTTTTGTCATTTTATTCTTCCAAAACTGGTCAGTTCCCACCTGAAAGACCAAAGGCAATGCTCCTTTATTGCAATGATACACTCAAAGTTCCCCTTATAATTTCCTCAAAACCCTACAGTTATTGCAAATGTCGTACTCATCTACATGTACCAAGGTGAATCCAAAACTTTAAATGTATGTAGGTCTCCCATAGGCCGGCCTAGTACTGGAACAGGGTTCCCAAATATACCATTCCCCTAATGGTTTGTACTAGCTCAATCGAGTGGAGCGTTAGTAGTCATCTTTTTCAAATTTTGGACTGGATGACCGATCCAGTCCAAAATTCAAAAAGAGGAATATCAACGCTCCACTCAAGATAGCAGAGCTGGGTTTGTACCAGTTCAGTTCACATAACTCAAAAAAGATGTCAGTCTTCATACATAGAAGAAGAGTACAGAGATACACAAAAACCTGAAAAGGTGATTCTAAGAAAAATTCATTTCCTGGTTCCTTCTGCCCTGGTACCGAGTGGTAGGACTATGATAACCATGATATAGTCCTACCATGGAGCTATAAAAAAGATCTACCAGGCCATTTGCCATAATGTGTAACCACCATCATAAAGCATGCCCATGTCCCCCACACTTCTAGCCCCACTAGTGTGGCACAGACTATCACTCCCGATCCATCCTTAGGATAGATCGAGAGTGATAGTCCGTGCCACACTAGTGGGGCTACATGCATCCTTCATGCCCTTGCGCGATCGCCCACACGCCGCGCCAGTCCCGTACGTACATGTATGCTCTTGCATCAAAAATTCAAAGGAAAAAGCGAACCGATTCCAAGAAAAACTTACTCAAAAATAGTGTGAAGTTGTGACAATCTAATAAGTCTGCTCTTCCTTTGAAACTTAAGTCTCTCTTAAAATGACGTGCATTACTCAAATCGTTTAAGTTAATCTTTCTTGAGCAGTACACACATGTAACATTCAGACACTGGGCCTATCATTCAACCCGGCAAGGCAAGTCAAGCTGGCAGCCATCTTTTGATGATGGCCTTTTCTTTGTATGGCGCGCCACCGGCACAAAAATACCGATCAACGTGATCTCTTCTTAACCAGCTATCGTCTAACACGTGTTGGCAGGAACAAAATTTATACTTACGATTTTCTTTCTTTTAACCAAAATGAGTGATGTGGTATTACCTTTTTCAACATTTATTCTTTGTTTTTGATTTCAAAATACACAAAGATAATATATATTTTTTTCCTTTTTAGGTTTTAATCAAACTGAAAACTACATGTAGAATTGAGACTGAAGCCTCTTCATCGTCCGTCATCTTCCTATACTGTGCAGAAATCTCCGCGGGACTCTGAGTCACACATCATTTGTTTGCTGTTTGTCGTTAGTGGCGTTTGTTTATTGTGTCTTTGTCTTGTTGTTTTGTTATTATTTTGTTTGTTCTTTTACTGTTGCTGCTGCTGTTCTCAATTGAGACCAAAGTTTCTAACAGCAAATCACTGGAAATGACTGTTAAACCACCGTAATGGATGGAATCCCGCAACTGCAGTTGACACGTTGACGTCTTTGTTCAAGCTGATTTCTTGCATGTACGAGCTCCCTCTATCATTGCTCCGCACGTCGGATGCTGAGAGAACATGCGGAATTGGCCGGGCGGGCTGCATGGGCATGCAGGTGATGTAGAATATGGAAAATCTATTCCCACTATATATCCTGGACCCTGCAAAAGAGCAAAAGATCCCCCCCCCCACTGAGGAAGGAGAAGTCTGAAATGAGTCCGAACTCTGAAAAGTATGGAACTTGCAGTCTTTGGAGTTTGACCCGGGAGGCGGCACCCGCTGACAGAAGACAAGGTTACATTATCGATGATGACTAGTTTCTTTGAAATTCTGGATTGTGACTGGGGCCCACAAGCCACTAAAGCTACATATCCGCCGCCGGTGGAGCTGCCGGTCATGTCAGCCTTTACTTTATCCAGCGCCGATTTGCCTCACTGGAAAGAAACTCGCCCTTGGCTACCAGCCTGCGGACTACGAAGCAATTCTCCCGAAGATTATCCTGCTGCGCAGCGCCAGCGGGACGCGGAGTCTGCCAATCTCTAGTTGCGTCATGCCACGAAAGTATCGATAAACTCACGGAAGCTTGGATGGGGACTGTCGCCGGATCCGTAGAGGAAGATCAGGTGCGATCCCCTCCCCCGTAGAATCCTCGAGCTCAGTTGCGGCTTTAATGGCGGATAATGCATAAATCTAATGAGAACTAGAGCAGGATGTATATGGCTTCACGATGCACAAAATTAATATCGGCCAGTTTGACAACAGAAAATTGCTGACCATTAGGTGAATAACCATTGACCTATGTCTACAAGTATACAGAGGATATTCGACAACTCACACTGATTTAACTCAACTTTAGAGATGACTCCAAGTTATGTCATGGAGGAAATGGCTGCCGCTGACCATGCAGGTTGACTAGTGAAGGCACCATCAGGTTCTCTCGTGAGAGGGTTTTTTATAGCTCCATGCTTAAACCAACCATACATAAAGTCGGAGCTTTTACAACTGATAATATTAAAAGCAACGCCTAATGTATCACCGATTGACCGATAATGTATCACCAACCGATACTGTGGCACACATTGACCAAAAGTATTGTAAAATTTATATCCAATAATGTCTCACCTGTTAATGGACAATGTAAATCCAAAAAGTCTTTATCCAATAATTATTTATCACCTGCCAACAGATAATGTAACTTCCCAAAAACCTGTAACCAATAACGTTTCACCTGCCAACGGATAATGCATCAACAGGCAAGACATCAAAACTCGACCGATAATGGATACGTATCGGAAAAGGTATGTAAAACTATAATTGTGTCGCCCAAATGAGGTTTTTAGAGACACTAACTACTCCTAATTGAATTCTGAATGTCTTGTTACCTCATGACCGCATGGGTGCAACTATGTGTGTCATAATGTTTTATAGACAAAACTGTGTAACTTTGTATCGATAAATGGTGCGTATTTACTCAGCACCCGACTAATCACCTCGCTTAACATATGGGGATTGCTGTGGTGATTGCACTCAGACACAAAACTTTCATTGCCATTGACTATTGAATGTATTTTCTGAAAACCTTCCCTCAAACTTTTATTTTGAAAATATGAAAAGGGGCGTAATCATATACGCCAAAAGAGGACCTTGCTATGAAACATTCGTCGGAAAAAATAGGCCTCAGTAGGGGAATGTAATTAATTAATTTCAGGTTTAAATGAGGACCACCCTGCAATCGGGAGGTGGAAGCTCAAATTGGGAACACAAAAAAGGGGCACCTGTTCAGAAAATGGATTGCTTTCCGTCGCAAACAAAAAAAATGAAAAAACATACAAGCAAAATAAAAATAGATGCTTAATTTGTCAAGAGACAAAATACACAAATGAAAACAGTAGGCCTATGGTAGACTGAAAGTTAGAAAAAAATTACAGCTGAACTGACAAAAGTCGGTAATCCGATGAAGAAATTCCCAATCATTGGTGAATACATCAAAGTTTCATTAAAATCTCCGAAAGCATATAGTTGCAGAGATTTTTCTTAACTTTAGGACACACATAGGAGTGCACACATACAATCGTATTTGGGGACACTGGTGAAAGACTCCAAAACTCGGTTTGGGCAACAACTTATTTTCCACAAATATTTCTAATTATCAGTCGATTTTTGATATCTTGCCCGTTGATACATTATCCGTTGGCAGGTGATTGGATGGAGAGTTTTTGGACTTACATTATCCGTTTAGCAGGTGATACATTAATTTGGATATAAATTTTTACAACACTATCGGTCATTTTGTGACACAATATCGATTGGTAATATCAATCGGCTATACATTATAGGTTGGTGATACATTAGGCGTTGGTTGTAACATTGTCAGTTGTAACAGGCGCCCAGTAAACGGTCAAGCAGTTTCCAATGAAAATGACCACATACCAGCCCATATAATATTGGCAGTCTACATGAAGGATGCAAGTGGCACATAACCGGCAAAGTTTGGCTGAAATCATCGCTAAAACTGTAAGGAAACAAAGCCATTGCAGGCACGTAGAAACGGGGCCAGTGCCCCTTCCCCCTGAAAAATAAACATCATTATCATGTGACTTGATGAAAATGACGTCATTGCCGCTTGAACAAGCCATAAGCAGAAACAGGGGACGTCGGTAAGTTGTGGTTTGCTCCCCGACCTGATTGTGAGTCGACCGTATTGTTGCTGTACCCTAACGTGGCGCGGCCGCTAATGTGGCGCAATTTAATTTTCGCTTCTTGTGTCAGTTAACGGAGCAATATTGGAAGCTCAAATTTCACAATTAGTGAAACTACATCAAACTCCTTCACATTTTAATTCATAAATCTCGATTTTAAGTACCTGCTCCAAAGTTTGGATGAAATTTTATTTTTTCCAATTTTCCGATTTTTTTCAGATGTGCAAATAGAACTCTTTGATGTGCCCGAAATAGGAAAAGAATTTTCTGACAAACTTGTGGATGGGTATTTGAGTGGAAGTAATGTTTTACAACAATATATCAACTTAAACGGATTTTGACTTCCTATGTCTTTTTTAAGTGCCCAACTCCGCTCAATTCAAGCCAATTTCCGAACGCAGCCATTTTTGGATTTCGAACGAAATTTCATGACACTGAAATTGTTTCCAAAGGTACAACACCATGTATCATGAGGGTAATAGTACCAGTTTTAACTAATTTAAGTTTTAAGTTTTTCAAGGAAACAAGTTTAACAACACTGTGTGAGGAAAATCAGCATCGAAGAGCGCCACGTTACAAGACTCTATACTGAAGTCGATCTGCTGTCCAAAATCCATAGATGGAAGACCATTCGGTTTCAGGCGTGAAACGCCAGAAATTAACTTTAAAGGATTTCTTGTTGCTGTTGAGTTGTTTATTCCCAACCCCTTCAGAAAGCATTCCCATAACTTATGAGCAAGTTTGTGATGTCATCTAAGGCAAAGCTTCAACATCGTGATTGGTTGTGCACAAATAATTAAAGATTTTTTCTTTTCTGATAAGGACAACTCCACTAGGCCTGATAATAATTTGTGTTTAGACTTGTCAGTACTTATTTTGAGGTGACCACCATTTTCTTCGGCAAAATTTGGGTTTTGATTATTTTTAATGCTGCTGTGTGACGCTTTTCCTGTGACGAGTTTACGCAACATCGCCTTCATTATGGCATTTGCCTTCATTGTGCGCACGACTTGGACTCCACACACAGATTTTTCTCTCCCCCCCCCCGAATAATCTTCCCACGTGAGTGCATGGAGGAAGGACTATACCAGAATATGATGACAGGTGCATATTCTTTACCCCAATGTGCAAAAAGTGCCAAAAAATGAAAAAGACCTGTAAATGCCCAAAATTGGGTGCCAATAGAAGAAATTTAAGAGGACACAGCAACGTTGTCAGTCTGACAACTTGAAAACAAATTACCAAAACTCTTAATACTGGGCTTCATGGGATATTTTATGAAGCATTTGACCAAGTACAACTGTCGGCGGAAGACATGTTGCAGCCAACTTTTGTTGGGGGCAGGGAAGCAACTGACCAAGTTAGCCTTCATTAGATCATGGAGGTGGGAAAAGATTAGATGGAAATTGAGTTTTTGGAGACTGTGCGAGAAGCCATGGTTAACTAATTCGATTAAGCTCCTGTGAAAACAGTGTAATATAAGCATTGTTCAGGACTCAGTAACATGATACAATCCGACATCACTGGGATTTCTCAAATACAACTTAGACTATTGTTCTACCATTAATCTTTCCATATCATTTTTAATTGAAATATCAAATTTTTGGTGCCAGGGTTAGCCGATTTCATTTTTAATTGTTCACACAAAATAAAATCACCTGAAAAGGGAGGTATCCCAAGCCCTGCTCTCATTTGTCAAACGGTATCTCTCTACTTTCTCGGAGCACTTGCACGTTGGACCATTTTTCAACAGTAATTTTCACAATTCAACCATCACGTGGAAGGCTCCAGAACCCAGAAGAATGAAATCCTGACTGACTTTACAAATATCACCATTTTCGAGCAGAACAGTCTCCTTTTTCCACAAAAGAAACTGTGGGGACACTTGTAATGGCAACGCGCCGGCTGGACAGCCACTCCTCAATAAAATGACCAGCAATTAAGTGACTGTTACGTAACCTTCGACCCGGTCTAAGCGCACGTATACATCACTAGAACTCCCGTGGAGTTATATACATGTATCTCTACACAATAACTTAAACTCCAATGCCGGTGTCGAGTTCCGTACGTTAATGAGTATCTGAAACGGTGCCTATGGGTGCAGTGTCCCAATTCAAGGAAAATTCTCCGCCAGGCGG